GTTGGTTTATTACGAGTTGTTATCGGCTTCTTAACTTTTAACCTAGTAATAGCATTGACACTACTGCAGGTTAAATTAGGATTTACCTGTTCAATCAACTTGTTGTCGTGTCTGATGCTTTGTAGCCGCTTACACTCATCTGTTAACGTTCTGAGTGTGACGTTTGGGTCTTGATCTAGTCGAGCCAAAAGTCTAGTCCTGATCTCAGCATCTTGTGGTGACTGAAGAGCTTTGATGAATATTAGGCATTTAAATTGGTCTTCTGTCAACGAGCGTAACTTGAACCGTTCACATTCTCTGTTGACGATGTCTGCTAAAACACCATATTCATCGGCTTCGCGTTTCACCAAATTTAGACACTGATGTCGAATACTAAACAATGAGGAGGATTCACCGAATATCTCTGACAATTGAATTATCGTCTCCTCGAAACTGAGCTCTCGAGGTAACTTAGGCAATATATGGTCAGCATAGCGTGCATGTTCATTAATTCCTAACTTACGTACCAACAGTCGAGTCTTCCACGCGTCGTCTTGGTTACAGAATTCTATTCTAAATGTATCTTCCCAACGTTTGAACCACGTGAGAAAAGTATTTCCGCTTTCGGGATCATAGATGAATTCTGGTATGCTGCTAGCAACTGCATCACAAGACGTACTTGAAATGGCATGTGAACTCGAGCAGTGGAAGTTAAGCTGTTGAGTCAGAGTCTCTAACAACCGCATTTGTGCATGTAATTGTTGTTGCTGTTGTTGTAGTATTCGGTTAAGCTGGTCGTCTGATATGGACATATTGAATTTATTTTCCTTTTTCCTCGTCGCCACTGTTATATTTTCGCTCTTACGGTTATAACCCAGCTATTCCTATTGCTTAGTATTCACGGTCACAGATTCACTCGACAAGGCCCCAAATCAGAACACGATTGAGCAGGAAGGAGATTATATTCCAAATAACAAGGTTAGGTGGAAGCAAGAAGCAAAATAGGAAAACCGTTAGTATATTTATAGCTTTTTACATAAGAAGAATCTAGAAGCTTCTCCATGTATAGACTGGCGCTGATTGGATAAGAATCAGCCAATCAGCGTGCGCCAAAGCAATCGTGCATTGAGCATGCTTTAATCCAATCTATGTCCCACTAACATTAACTATTATTTTACTAATTTTGACATGTTTCCATAAGCTTTTAGAATATCAGTGTCAGACGTAAAATTACAGATATCCTTGTTTTACGTGCCTAAACTAATCTTGAAAGTAAAACTTTTATCATATTTCACATATTCTATCTTCTGTTCGGGGCTCAAGTGTAGACGATTTCTGGGGATTAGGAAGCTGTTAAAAAATCAGCACCAGCCGTTCAAGTACCATACATGTCAGCAATTTGAGCACCGGCTTTCGACTGTCACGCTATCTATTCAACATTCCTGTTGTGATAGCCACTTGTTTCTAGTTCCTTATAGCCTATCTTCAACTAACCCGTAACTGGGTAGTAAACTACATTACTCACTGTTTTTGTACTCCTAGTTTTTGATTTCACCGATTTCAATCATATTTATGAGGTGGATTTGTATCGGTAGTCCCGTAGATCTTGGGTTGGTGGTTGACTGAATCTTGATACAAATACAGTAAGTAAACGGAATACACCCATTAAGACATCAAATAAGAAAGATTTGTTCAGCGAAGAGTTCTCTTTTCGGCGAATTCATTTTCAAAGCTGTACAATCGCAAATATATATACTTATTTTTACAGGATGATAATAATACTGATAATAAACTTCTGTTATACATGGTTACTCCTGGTGATCGACTGGATCATGAAGACGTCAACATCTGAAGGGAAGCACGGGATACAGTGGACATCTAGGGTGCAATTGGATGATCTAGACTTTGCAGATGATCTGGCTCTTCTATCGCGCACACAACAACAAATGCAGGAGAAGACGGCCAGTGTAGCAGCAGCCTCAGCAGCAATAGGTCTCAATATACACAAAGGGAAAAGCAAGATTCTCCGATACAACACAGCATGCAACAATCCAATCACAATTGACGGAGAAGATTTGGAAGATGTACAAACCCTTACATATTTGGGCAGCATCATCGATAAACACGGTGGATCTGATACAGATGTCAAGGCACGGATCGGCAAAGCAAGAGCAGCATATTTACAACTGAAGAACATCTGGAACTCAAAACAATTGGCAACCAACACCAAGGTCAGAATTTTCAATACAAATGTCAAGACAGTTCTACTGTATGGGGCGGAAACCTGGAAAACCACGAAAGCCATCATCCAAAAGTTACAGGTGTTTATTAACAGTTGTCTACGCAAAATACTTCAGATCCGTTGACTGGACACTATTAGCAACAACCTACTGTGGGAGAGAACAAATCAGATCCCAGTGGAGGAAGAAATCAGGGAGAAGAGCTGGAAGTGGATAGGACACACATTGAGGAAAGCACCGAACTGCGTCACGAGACAAGCCCTCACGTGGAATCCTCAAGGTCGAAGGAAAAGAGGAAAACCGAAAAACACATTACGCCGGGAAATGGAGATAGACATGAGAAAAATGAACAATAACTGGATGGAACTAAAAAAGAAGGCCCAGGACAGAGTGGGTTGGAGAATGCTGGTCGGCGGCCTATGCTCTATTAGGAGTAACAGGTCTAAGTAAGTAAGTAATACATGGTGACAGTGAGGTTAAATAAACAAAGGCATTTTAAAATTTTTTTTGTAAACATTGGAAGTTTAATAATCATTTGATTGTTAATGGCTTAAGTATTCATCAAAAGATAGATATGGAAATTATCATTGGGAATAGATAGCTCAGCATGATAAGATAAAATGCTGAGATTGAGATAAAATGTAGTCAGAATGATCGTGGAAATAAAAACACACCAGTTGGGGGTAGAAGATTTAAGGGGAAGATGGAAGATAAAGCAGATGGCTGTAAAGGAACCACAGTATGAGAAAGATAGAAAAATTTTGATACATTAATACCATGGTAAAAGAAGGCGTTGTACCAGTCTGGTTTTTCCAGATGTATAGATATTACTTCGATAATGCAAAGAATATGCAGTCTAATTGTCTTCAGAAGACATCTACTTAGCTTGTAGATGACTTTGAACGCTGAGTCTGTCATGATTGAATGACCTGTGTTCACAAGGTGTTCGGTTATGTAACTTCGTATTGAACCGTTGCCTCCTCTTTTTAGCCACGCCGGACAATGTTCTTGAATTCTTTTGGATAAAGTACGCATCAAACGGCCTATATACCTAGCTCTACATGAGCAGGTAAATTGGTAAATGCACATTAAGTTAGTGAGATGTGATAATTTATCTTTAAGGTTATTGGTGAATAATGGTCGGCTAGAAAATACTATTCGCAATGTTGTTGCGGGGAATTTTCTTTTTAAAGAATTGGAAATTCTCCTTTTTAGGGTGTGTGTGTGGCTCTTTCACCCTTGAATTCGATGTTCATGTATAAAGTTTTCTTTTCTGCTGTAGTTATCTGTTTTCGGCGTTTTCGGCCTTATGTTTTTATCAATGAACCAATCAATGAGAAAAACAAGACTGAAATTATAGAAAAGAAACTGACTGAAGTTCTTAAGAGAATGAAAGATGATTAGTTAATCGACGAACATGTCTGTGAGCTCATAAAACCAACAGCATCAATAATACGCGATTATACGGACTGCCAAAAATATACAAACCTGGCCTAGCTGTTAGACCGATTCTCGATATGTCAGGATCCCCTTACCACTCGATAGCAAAGTGGCTGGCAAATCTAGAACCCGTTAGAAAAGGCATTTGTAAGCACTCCGTACGTGATACTTTTGCATTTATCGAGCACATAAAAGAAGTGAATGTAAATGACAAAATTATGCTACCTCTGGATGTCGAATCATTATTCACTAATGTTCCACTCACAGAGACCATTAATTTTATCTGCAAGTACATAAATAATAATGAGATAAACATCGGAATACCGGATGTTTACTTGAAGAAACTATTGCTACTTTGCACTTGTAATGTATAGTTCACATTCAACGACGTAATTTATAGACAGAAGGATGGTATAGCAATGGGATCCCCAATTGGTCCACTACTGGCCCTGAATTTGATCTCTGTCTTGATTATATTTGCATACTGTTGTAAAGTCCAGAAATACAATCAAAAAGCTATCGATGGTCCTCTCATCCATAATTAACTAGTTAATGTCAGTATGCAGCAAGGCATTTGTAACCTAGGATGATCATTCTGGTGATATTGTGTCCTCTTGTCTGTGTGATTGATAACAACCAAATTAAATTCAGTGTCAACAAAACAGACTTTTGAAAACTTGCAGTATCTCATTTCTTTCTGAAGTTTGCGCTTATGATGATGTTGTCTAGCAAAAGGCAGTTACGCAACTCCATAGAATGCAACTTCACCGAAACTATCTTCAAAATAAAATGAAAATGCAATTCCATATTTTAACTTTTAGAAATAATAATAATAAGGCTTTTAAAGACTTATGAACCATTTCTTCTTGCCATTTGTAACAGAAAAAACTTCGCTATTCCCTTTATGTTGATCAAACATAAAAGTATCAAGTCATTTCGCATAATATGCATATATGTTCTTAAAGAGTCTGGTCGATTACAGTCCATAACAGACAGAAAGATCCAAATAATCAACACAAATCATGGCTATCTATACTCAGTAACTAAGTAAATAAAGCGCTGAGCGTTTGAAGCGAAAGCTGCTGGATTCAAGCCCAGATCTGAACATCAACACAGGTTCAGATGCATCTAATTGATGGGTCCCAAACAGGATGAAACGCGTGTTCTGCTAACTACCAAATCTACCTAAAGTATCCTTATCATCATCAATTCGAGTCGCTTCATTTTACTTTAGTTTCTGTTCACATTATTTAGTATCCGCTTATTTGTTTACTTTTGATATAGAGTTTTTTGTCTGTATGTTTCCCACTCATTCATTTATCTCCACTTTTTTTACTTCAGACAAGGTTGTGAAGTACTTCATTTTAAAGTACTTCAAGACGAAGCTGGAAAATATTTTTTCTGGTTATCCAAATTTGATTCCATTAACCAATTAATTGATCATCATCGAAAGACAAGTATATCACGTAATCGTTTATTGACTTTGGTTGATCTTGTCCCATCTAAGGTGAGTGTGTGCATATAGTTGGCATGTTTTCGTGTTTTTATATTGATATTCGTATTTGTTTTACCCCTTCTTGTCTGTCAGTTGTTTTTCTGTTCAAACGACGATACTAAAAGTATACTGACATATCTATATTTGTTAGGGGCTAGTAGGTGGTGAAAATCCCTCCAACCAACCATTTCTCTTATGACTTTCGTAAATTACGGATTGTATCGTTGTCTACTGAAATTTTTTACATTGAACATTCTTTATCAGTGCTACGATCTAAAATGATTTTTCACTATTTGCATATTCATTTCTGTTCTACTTACAAGGACTTTGTAAGCATGTTTCTGCATCATAACAACTGGCTTTGTTCGTTCTTATTTGATTTCTCCACAAATTCGTTATTTATATTCTGAATTCGTTTAGTCTAGGAAGAGAAAAGTACAGAGAGTCTTCTATGTTCATCGTTGAATGTACCAAAGCTAGGTATATTTAATCATATAGTCGCGTGCATTAATCGTGGCCGATGATTCTTAGTCAGCCAGCAACAACGTAGAACTTCGTACGTACGTATATCAGTTCGAGTTGCCTTACCACATTAACATACAGATACAATTGTCGATTGAAATCCCGCAGTGGTAGAGGTAGTAACAGTATGAGCAGTAATCGGAAAGATTAGGGTTTGAAGGTGTTATTCAAAGCGTATAATCCAGTGAAATAAATTTGAAAAGAGAAAAAATAAGGGACATGAAGAATTCAAAAGATTAGAATTTGAAAAAACGCAAAGAGTGGATGCACCTGCGCCATTGCAAACGATTTTGAGCCATGTCATTCAAGGTCTCTAACCATCGGTTACTATCGTCTCACGGATCCCAACCAGGTAGTCTACACCTGCTAATATGGCTCAGTCCACGTGTTAGAGATTTCATGAATTTATGCCATGTTTTGGACTGACAGCCTATACCTTTCTTCCAACCTACTCCTACACCATGAAACATCGCACGTCGGGGCAGTCGGTGGTTGGGCATACGTAACACGTATGCTATGACCGAGAGTTAGGTGGGTTCGCCTTCCCTCTCGAAATACTCTCACACAGCCACGCGTATACAGCCTCTACCAGGGAAGTCCTACTCACTGCCTTCTCTCACCACGGGTGTTTTTTACGAAAATGAGAGGACGAAAAGCGAGTGTCCAGCGCTTTAACCGGATTGCAAATCAATGGTGCACGTGGGCTTCAGTATCCTGCGGGAACAAATGGCGTATGAGCCAATTTCTGGGTCACCGGATTCCATGGGACTGCATATCCTCACGATGCTCCACTGCCTTGTGGTCCAGACCTTTAGGTCAAAGGCTTGGGATGTGGCTCCCTAAGAAAACCACCTGCTTCGGTTTGGGCACCCGGGCAGTATCTCAGCCCACACACAAAAACATGATGAACTATCTACTAATGAAAAATATTCTTTTCGCTCCGATTAACAATGAAATGACTCGCACTATTATTACTATTATTATTATTTACCACGTCATTTATTCACTCTCTTTTATCCCTACTCTGTCTATCCTTATTTTTCGACTTACATAGCAGCTCGCCTATGGTGGAAATTCGGCTCTATCTAAACGTTCTCGAGTCACTGCCTGGTTGAAAATTGTATGTTACCACCGAATACGAGTACTGAAGCAGTTTTTCTGAAACCACGTGCACTATTCAAAATGGCTGCCTTCAACGTTCGCACACTTATGCAGGTCGGACAACAGATAGGGCTGGCTTTGTCTTTGGAAAGTCTTAATATCGACGTTTGTTGTTTATCCGAGACCCGTATTCAAAACTCTGGTGACGTACTGCAAGTTCGCTCTCCATCTGTCGCTTCAAAAAGCTTGTTTTACGTGCGTTTATCCGGGGATCCTGCGGCATCTTCGTCTGGTCTTGATGGCATTAGTGTCGCACTAAGCGCTAGAGCTGAGACATCACTAATCGACTGGATTCCCGTTGACAGTCGGCTATGTGCTGTTAGATTACAAAGTTCCATCAAAGTGAGAAGAAATCGGCGTGAGAAACGATGTCTTTTCATCATCTCCGCCTATGCCAATTGGTAACAGATTGCAGCCCCGGTGCATTCGACAGATATTGTAGTACTAGCCGGAGACTTAAATGCTCAGGTCGGGCGTCTAGGCACAGAAGAGAGTCGTTTGAGTGGCCGATAGGGACTTGTTGGTCGCAGGACAGATAGCGGGGAACGTCTACTGCAACTGTGCACAGACCACAACCTGTTTCTGGCTAGCACTAACTTTTGGCACAGTCATCGCCGATGTGCCACCTGGCGTCCTCCCTCTGCATCTCAAGCCTGGACTCAGATTGATCACATCGCGATCAGCCACCGCTGGCGTGGTTGTATACAAGACTGCCGCTCCTTTTGGAGTACCTATCTGGAATCTGATCATGCCCTGGTCTGCGCCAATCTTACATTACTTTTCAGTGGACAATGAAGTGACCGCCACCACAGGATTGATGTTAGCAAGCTGGCTGCAACTTCTTTTGCTAGTAAGTATCGAACCGAGCTAGCTTCTAGGCTAGCTACCATTCCACCGAAAAGTATAGATGAGCATTGGTTGCAATTGCATGACGCCATGAAAATGGCGGGTCAAGTCTGTTGTGGGTTCGCGAAACGTCCCGCTTACAAGCACTGGGTTTCTTCTGGTTCCTTACAACTGATTGAAGCCCGTCGGTCTACTCCGGGTGACCGTGAGTTTGACCACAGACGAAGGATGTTACGTAATGAAATCGGGCAAAGCTTGCGTGAGGACCGTGAAGCCTGGTGGTCGGAGCGTGTTAATGAGCTGGGAGCAGCAGCTACATCTGGTAATTACCGGAAGCTCTTCCAACTCATCCGAGCCACTGGCAGCAAGAAGTCTGGTGTGAGCGAAACAATCTGCGAGGATGACGGAACGCCAATCACTAACATCCATCGACGTCTTGGACGATGGGCAGAATTTATCGAAGGGCAGTTCAACTGGCCTGCTGCTCCGGCAACATCGGTCAGACTGTCCTGCCCTCCATGGCCGGTGACGACTGATCCGCCGAATGAGGCGGAAGTCCGAAAGGAACTCCAACTCGTGAAGCGCTACAAATCACCGGACCCAGATGACTTACCTCTGGCTCTTTTTAAAGATGGTGGTGACTTTCTGACTAAAGGACTGACGACGTTGTTTACAAAGGTCTGGGAACTAGAGAGTGTACTAACGTCATGGAATGAGTCGATAGTTTTCCCTATCTTTAAAAAGGGTTCACGTTGTTCCTGTAACAACTATCGGGGGATAAGTCTACTTCCGATTGCGTCCAAGCTATTGGCTTCCGTTATACTTGGTAGGTTGTTCAAAACCCTAGAAGGATTGACTCGCGAGGAGCAGGCTGGGTTTCGTTCTGGTCGAGGATGTATTGGTCATATCTTCACCCTCCGCCAAATGTTAGAACACCGTCATACTTATCAATGGCCAACAATCGTAGTGTTTCTTGACATCAGGGCTGCCTTCGATTCGTTGGACAGGACCGTTCTCTGGGATTGTCTATTGAAGAAGGGTGTGCCTGAGAAGTTTATTAACATCCTGAAAGCATTATACACAAACACCTCAGGCAGAGTGAGGGCATACAACCACCTTTCTCCATCGTTCCATTCAAGCAGTGGAGTTAGACAGGATTGCCCAATCTCACCATTCTTCTTCAACTTTGCCATCGATGACATTCTGGAAACAGCTCTGATGGATATAAGTAATGGTGGTGTGGATCTGTTGCCTGGAGATAGACTTCTCGACCTTGAGTATGCGGATGATATTGTCTTACTGTGCGATAATGCCCAAGCCATGCAATCCGCATTTAAGCCGTCGGCAATCAGTGTTCGTAGGTACGGTATGTGCTTTGCACCTTCGAAGTGCAAAGTACTTCTACAAGACTGGCAGGATTCTAATCTTGTACTCACCCTGGATGGTGGGCAGATAGAAGTGGTCGAGAAGTTCGTGTATCTAGGTAGCTGCATAAGTGCTGGTGGTGGCGTCAGTGATGAGATCAATGCACGTATACTGAAAGCCAGAGCGGCTTATGCCAATCTGGACCATCTTTGGTGCCTTCCTGATGTTAGTCTGGCTGTAAAAGGTCGGATCTACAGCGCGTCGGTGAGAGCAGTTTTGCTCTATGCTTGTGAAACCTGGCCTCTCCGAGTTGAGGATGTTAGACGACTCTCTGTGTTCGATCATCGTTGTCTCCGAAGGATTGCTGACATTCAGTGGCGACACCATGTTAATAATGCAGAGGTTCGGCATCGTGCGTTCGGGCACAGAGACTATCATTCAACTGGTGTCACCATTTTGAAACACAGACTTCGGTGGCTTGGACATGTTCTACGGATGTCGTCCCAGAGAATTCCTCGTCGTGCATTATTTTCCGACGCTAGGACTGGTTGGAAAAAGCGGAGATATGGTCAGTGTATGACATGGTGTCGGGGTATTTATTTATTTTTGCACACAGATATTGATGCAAGGGGGCACTAAATACATATTTCTAAGACACCTGTGGTCAAATACTAGTAACTTAGGAGTATCTTCAACGCGTTCGACTACTTCACTCCCTATCCTTAGTTCAGGTGTTGATGCAGACCAGTCTTGAAGCAACAACTTGTATTTAGAGGGAGAGAAGCGCATCCCAAACATCCTGACATTTTTACTCAGTGCTACCAAAAGACTCTGCAGTTTACCAGCGTCTTCATCAAACAGGACTATATCATCTGCGTATTTTAAGTCGATAAGTGGGCCTCCTGGTAGGAGATCAATGCCGGAAAATTCAGTCGATGAGAGCGTTATTTCCATCAGTAGATCTATGATGAAGTTGAACAAAAATGGAGAAAGTGGACAGCCTTGGCGTCGCCACTTGAGGTTGCAAAAGCAGATGACAGTTCGCCATTAGCTCTGACTCGACTAGTAGTGTTCGAGTAAAGAGCCTTCACAAGGTTTATGTACTTCTGAGGTACGCC